GAAGTGATGGCCTGTCCATCAGGTCAGTCTACATCGAAGTGATGGCCTGTCCATCAGGTCAGTCTACACCGGAGTGATGGCCTGTCCATCAGGTCAGTCTAAATAGTCACTGTCCGTCTGTCCGTCCGTCTGTCTGTCCGTCCGTCTGTCTGTCCGTCCGTCTGTCTGTCAGTCCGTGACTTCATGTTTTCATCGACGAGAAAATACGCTTTCTAATATTAGACTTTGTCCGTCTGTCTGTCCGTCCGTCCGTCCGTCTGTTTGTCTGTTTGTCCGTCTGTCATTGGGATCGAAGCGCTCGCTGCCAGCCGCAGATAGTTTGTAGCGCATATTGCATGGTTGCCAAAGGCACTCCTATGGAGTTTCTTTCTGTTAATTATTACTTGCTTTTTCGGATCTCCTGTAATTGATTTAACATGTACATATGAGCAGAGTGATACTAGCAATGGTAATAAGTTATAATGGTTATTTTTTATTCCTGCAATTGATCCAGTTCATGACCATTTCTTATGAATTAAGTCCATAGGAAGTCCATTGCTTATTTTTTGGTTTGGATAACCAGTAGGCGTTTAAGAAAGGTTGGAGCGCTACTATTCTTTTGACTTACCATACCAGGCGTAGCCGCGTACCGCACGGTAGCGGCGACCAGCTGCAGCATGCAGCCCGCCCGCAGTTGTGGAGTAGAATTTGTGGGGGAAGGTGTAGTGACCTTGACGCTCCAATTATGACAGCGCTCCAATTTCCCAAAAGCTCATGTTCTTTTATTTATACTATGGAATGCCACCATGTCTTCAACTCCACAGTGCACGCTATCAGTTCCGTCTCCTACGATGCGGATGTGAGCAGCTACTTTATATAATGCAGTAGCTACTCTAAAAATAATAGAACCGATGTTTTTTAAGAAACAAAGGTACACATTTTAATCATACAATAATAAATACGAAAATAAATACGAAAACTTCAAATTAGTTGAACATACTTGTGATGTATTATTACAGTATTTTTTACAGCATATAGCATGAGTAACCATTTATGGGTTGAAAAATAAGGATTACATATTAATATAGGCAAAAAGTATCACAATGCATTTGGTTATGTTGAAAACGCAACACAATAGAATGTTGCCTTCAACAAGTGCTCATTATCGTCTCGGACAAATTTACGTCCGGACTCGCGCCCGGCGTCTCATTACCTGGGGGAGAGATCTGCAGAGCCAAACGTTTTGAAAGCCCTGAACCCTGAGATATAATTACAGTTTCTGTGCTTCTGGAATCAATGATTTTCAGCGCGTTATTAGTTCATATTAAAACTTGATTTTTCTTATTTACTCGGCATACAGTCGAACTTATTTGCAGTTAATTTTCATTATTCAATTACATCGTTTTAATAAACCAAATAACTGATAAGATTTCAAAAATGTTTTCTAATGATATTGTGTTTTCTAATAGCATAAAATAGCACTTTATTAGCATAATTTCCTCATAAATATTCAATCAGAACATTAATTTAAACACTTTTTTCCAGAAAATTGGCACATATATACATGTTGTTCTCATCATTATTTCATTGATATGTTTCGAAAACTTCATTTATAAATGGTACAATATTACTTAAACAGCTATGCTGTCATACTGGATCATGCCATTCCTGATGCTTGCAAATTTCGATGTGCATGAATATTTTATTCTCTAACAGATTACGTAAATGTATCACTTTAAGTCAACAACCAATGCAATTGATTTCGCACACGCTTGAAAATAATTTTATCGTACCAATGAAAAATGGCATGCTAGTGGCAGGGTGGCTCTGTGGGTACGTTTCAGAGTACCATGATTCGAGCAGTGAGTTGTGGGTTCGATCCCAGTTACCTGCAACAGATCTGGTCAAATAGGCGAGGTGACCAAACGTATCAAAATTATTTCACAATCAGAAATATGTTATAATATCACAATCGAAAATATTATTCACAAATAACCATCGATTTCAATGCAAAACTCCCATCTTCACTGCTTTGTTTACATATGGGTAGCGGTGACGTCACACACAAGAACACGTGGTAGCTACTACGTAGCTACATCGATTGTGACAAAAAAATGCACTATTTTGCTGCCCTACAAACAAATAAATGTAAATAATTAGTAATGGAAAAGTTTTTCTGGAAGATTTTGAGAGACTGTGCCTAAGCAGAATACGATATTAATAAATTATTAGTGAAGATACTAACAATAAAGTAGTTCATTTGATGGCCGCTGCTAGCGCTGGCATCTGAATACGGGCATGCCACCTTTGTTTAGTATTCGAACAATTCAATATCTCACTGCAACACAAGTCAATACATTTTAAAAATTAGTAATGGAAAATATGTTGCTGGAACACTTTGAGACCGGACCTAAACAGAATACGATATTATTATATTATTAGTGAAGACTGAAGATACTAACAATAACGTACCTAGTTCATTTGTTTGCCGCTGCTAGCGCTGGCATCTGTAATATGTGAAGCTTCTATGGGTAATTTTACTTCTATGGGTACAACTTCTATGATCAATTTGAATCATAAACATTTATGATTTACCTAATGCAAGAAATTAGCAATCAATAATTCAAGGTTATTTTGTAAGTTTTGTAACAAGGGAAGACTACATTAAATACGTACCGTAAAATGGGGTAACTTAGACCACTTTTTTTATAAATGATGCCATTTTTTTACTAGCTAAATTAAACTTGAATTGAAACATGCAAAATACAGGTCTATACTCTAGCTTCACTCACCATAAATTGCTGGCTCCTGCCTCTCATAGTCCTTATGTAATTTCAAAAAAAGTGGTGGTCTTTGTTACCCCAGCTCTTGGGGTAACTTAGACCGGGTGGTAAAATCAATTATATTTTTTGGTAAAATAACTCCAAATAATTCCAGGTTTTGGTGCATTGTAGTAGAACTCTTCTAGTTACATATGCAAATGACAAACTTGAGGAAGGTGTCATAGTTTGCAAATAGGGGGCGCCTCCCCATAATGAGGGAAATGTGACTACCTAATGGCAACCCTGATATTGGGTTGCCATTAGGTAGTCACTATCAATATTAATCAACTACCTATCAATAATCAATATTAATATAATATAAGTCAATATTACCCTATATTGGTAATAATCAATATTACCAATATAGGGTAATATTGACTGGCTTGGAAATTAAGTTAAAATTACCATATATAAGACTCTGTAGAGTCTGAAACATAAAGAAAAAACATAAATAGGCTGTAAAACATAAAATATGTTATATATGGTAATTTTATATTAACTTCCAAGCCAGTCTATGTTACTCCGTCAGGGCTGACATTAGGTGGTCTAAGTTACCCCATTTGGGGGCGGCGCCCCCCATTTGCAAACTATGACACTTTCCTAAAATTTGTCATTTGCATATGTAACTAGAAAGAGTTCTACTACAATGCATCAAAACCTGGAGTTATTTAACCAAAAAATAAAAAAATTGGAGGGGGTACTCTGACAGGCTTTAAATAATAGCTTTTTTTCATGGGTCACATTTTTATTTTTTTAACCTATTAGATATGCAAACTTTTCAAATCTTTCTACTGTGTTATGTAGCCTCAGTATTAGGCCTTTAATGCCCATTGACAAAATTTTTCTATGTCAAATAGTTTTTGAGTTGTGGGGGTTTTTGTTAAAAAAGCGAAAAGTGGTCTGAGTTACCCCGCCGGTCTAAGTTACCCCATTTTACGGTATTGGCAACTTGTGCTAAAAAAATGCACTGAAACTGCAAACAGCTGTGACAGAAGGTGCCAGAAAGCGCCATCGATTCATTTGTCATTTTTTATTTCAAATCGCTTTCAGTTCTTTGGACTAGGAGCGTAAATTTCAGTGTAAAACCTATTAAAAGTTTAAGTTTCTACGTGGATTTTGATGCTGTTAACATTTAAATACTTGAAAGTATCTCTGATGCAAGAAATACTGGCTAAATACATTTTAATTTAGAAATTAACATCAATCAAAATTACTGTTGTTCCGGGCTATGTTGGTTCTTGCGACCGATTTTTGCATCCAGTCGCTTATAATGAAAATAAAATTGTTTAAGCAAGTATTTCTTGCATTAGAGATTCTTCAAAGTTTGTTAATGTTAACAGCACTATAATCGATGCAGAAACGTACATTTTTTATATAGATATTAAAAATGTAGGCTCTTTGACTCGTATACTATGGCCCTATGGGTCTAGGATTTCAAATGGATGCATGTGTTCAAATTCAAATAAGGCCCACCCATGGCCAGTGTCAGCTCAGCTGATGAACCGCCCCTTTCTTTAGAAGCAAGAAAGCTTTTGCCGGGTAAGGTTGTGTTACATGATCGGTCCTCGGTCCGTAAAGAAGTGTTGATCGGTTCAAAATGACATAAGACCAGGTTCTTTTGAATAACCTATAGAATTGCACCATGTTCACAACCGCTTGTTAATTCCTAAAAATGTCAAGCCATATTACTTCTAAAAAAATTCTGTCTCCAAGCTTATATGCTGTATGTGAATTTTGACTAGTAATGCTGATGAATCCAGATTACTTTATTTTTGTGTAAAAGTGAAAAGTATCATTGAAACTCCTAATCAGTTACCGTCAACCGGGGCTACTTGGGACGGGCGGGGTAATTTGAGACAGTTCTCCAACGTGACGTAAAACTGTTTTGGTAGCAAAACTAATTGGAATATTGCAAAACTAAATATTGTGGCATAAACGTCAACATTTTTCCTATCTATGTAGTATAAAGGAAGTTCAAAAATACTACATTTACTAGCCTTGAAAAATTCCTGAAAAAAATGGTGAAAAACGATATTTTGAAAAGTTACTTCTGCTAAGGTCTGTAGTAAAAAAATATTTGCCGTATTAAGACATTTTGCTTAGAAATTACATTTTACCTCGTACATTTTTTACCCTGATTACATTTACCTCGTTCAGCGATAAAATATCGCTTATAAAAAATTAGTGCATCATCGGTCATCACAAAATTGTGCATAGAACGTCATATATAGAATTGTGCACCAGGTATCATAGAATGAAAAGTCATTGACCAAAACTATGATTTATTTCTCCAAAACATATGATGGTTGTCACTAAAACATTCCTTTCTGTTTCAGGTATGTTTTTCACAATCAGTTTTTCACAATCAATTTTGATAAATTCACTTAACCCAATTAGAATGGAGTGAAATTACAAGTCATCCTGTAAGCTTACAGATACAGAAAAAATGCTATAAGGCTGCTGATATGAAGCTTGCAGTGGACAAGGTTGTTGTAAATGCTCAATGGCATGTTCATGGATACGGTACTATTGCATCAATAATACAGTAATATCACATCAATAATACGGTAATTAATGTATATGATAATATCATATCAATAAAGGAAAAACAAGTAAAAATCACAGAAAATGTCATTTATTCTACCTCTACATTATCTACAATGAAAGAGGAGGACTTCAGAGTACTATTAGTAATGGATGAGTACACTCTGCATGCTTCAAATGTTTTAAAATGACGTTTTATTCCAAGTGTCCCGAGTAGCCCCGTTCAATGGGTCTACTCGGGACACTCTTTTTTTTTTTTTTGCTTCTGGCACCTTACGAATAGCATATGGAATTTTTTTTGATAAGCCATGTGATAGCCCTTGCAAAGAGCTTTGAAATGAGCCTAAACTTGTTCAAGAAATGTTTCATGGTAAGAAGTTATGAATGAAAAACTTTCTAAATCGTCCCGAGTATCCCAGTTGACGGTACCATAAAATTGGGTAACTTTGACCACTTTTTTTTCAAAATTATGCCATTTTTTACTAGATAAGTTAAACTTGAATTGAAACATGCAAAATACAGGTCTATACTCTAGCTTTACTCACCATAAAGTGCTGGCTCCTGCCTCTCATAGTTTTGATGTAATTTCAAAAAAAGTGATGGTCTTTGTTACCCCAGCTCTTGGGGTTTCTTTGACCAGGTGGTAAAATCAATTTTATTTTTTGGTAAAATAACTCCAAATAACTCCAGGTTGTGGTGCATTGTAGTAGAACTCTTCTAGTTACATATGCAAAAGACAAATTTTAGGAAAGTGTCATAGTTTGCAAATGGGGGGGTGCTGCCCCCCAATGGGCAAAATGTGACCACATAATGGCAGCTGTGATGGGGTAACATTGACCAGTTTGGAAATTGAGTTAAAATTACCATATATAAGTCTCTGTAGAATCTGAAACATAAATAAAAAAGAAACATTAATATGTGTATCAAATATAAAATATGGTATATAGGTACCTATGGTAATTTTAACTTAATTTCCAAGCCGGTCAATTTTACCCCGTCACGGCTGCCATTAGGTGGTCAAAGTTCCTCCATTGGGGGGCGGCACCCCCATTTGCAAACTATGACACTTTCCTAAAATTTGTCTTTTGCATATGTAACTAGAAAAGTTCTACTACAATGCATCGAAACCTGGAGTTATTTTACCAATAAATAAAAAAATTGTGGAGGGGGTACTCCAACAGGCTTTGAATAATAGCTCTTTTTCATGGGTCACATTATTAATTTTTTAACCTATTAGATATGCACACTTTTTAAATCTTTCTATTGTGTTACGTAGCCTCAGTATTAGGCCTTTGATGGCTATTGACAAAATTTGTCTATGTCAAATCATTTTTGAGTTTTTGGGGTTTTTGTTAATAAAACAAAAAGTGGTCAAAGTTACCCCCCGGTCAAAGTAACCATTTTACGGTATAGGCCCATATGAAATTATGTGGCCCACTGGCAATTTTTAGGAATAATTAATTTCTTCTTTTAGTGTACCGTATTTGAAATAAATATTTATTATATGTCTGAATGAAATTTTTGAAGCCAAATACTTAGCTAATATACTTATTTGTTATATTCACAAATATCAACTAAACTTTACAACAATTATAACAATAATAAACAAAATAATACAATTATAACAATACAAGTGACATAACAAATACCTATTTCAAAACATGAATGTGAATCACAAATGAATTTCATTATTCTATTAATCAAGTGTCGTTTCACATCTACAGTCTGATTGGGGGATCCGACTACAAATTGATATACCGACACTATGCCACACTGTACTTTGTTTTCTGTGTGGACTCGTCTGAGAGTGAATTAGGCATCTTGGACCTTATTCAGGTTAGTCATGAGTGAGCTCTGCCAAACCTTCAATTTATAAATTATGCACCATTAGAATTACCAACAATTTATATTTTAGTGCCTACAGACTGACACTCTTATCTGATTTTTGCGAAAAGTCATGAGAAATCAGTTTCATCTGATAACTGTGAGCTTACGTTAGTAAATTTGTTTGGATATGGTGGACTACTCTTTGCTAATTGGTTGAAATATTGAAATTATTTGATGTCTATTTCTCAATGACTGCCATCCACGGATAAATTTGGGTGGTGTGGTGAATTAAATTTATTTTTTCATTGAACTTTTGCAAAATTTTATGATAAGAGTTAAAGTTTTTTCCAATAAAGGAAAATAGGTAACTAATTTCAACTCCTTTTTAGCGCATTTTCTCATTTATGGAAAAAATTCACTATTGTGCTCCTCATGTCCATCCGTCTGTCTGTGTGTCAACGACTTCACGTTTTTGTCAACGAGAAAATGAGCTCTCTATCACTCACTGCAGTGAGTACTACCTGAGTTATATTTTTTATATATGTGTGTAGGTACTTCTAAAAACCTCCGCTATCTACCGTAGGTATGCAGTGACTCCTGTTATTTTCAAACTTTGTGCCCACTAACCAGTTGTGTTCTTCATTCCTAACTCATTTACTTAATATTTTTTAATAACATGTACAAAATTTAAATTTTTATTTATCAAATCAATAGCATCTGTCAAATTAGCCTAAGAAAATTATGTTTCATTTGACTAAAAGAGAGGTAGAAAGCAAATGATTGGCTGTATGCTTATCTTGCAGGTGTTTGTGGAGAGCTTGGACAAGTGTTTTGAGAATGTCTGTGAGCTGGACTTGATATTCCACGTGGACAAAGTTCACTTCATCCTCAACGAGCTGGTGATGGGAGGCATGGTTGTTGAGACCAACATGACGGAGATCATCACCAGAATAGAGGACCAAAATAAGCTCGAGAAGCAGGAAGTATGACCATGAAATAAATATTATTTATCTCAGCTTAATTATTTTATTTATACTCATAAGACTGTAATTTGAGAAATTCATTGCCAGAGTAGAGGTAAAGAAAAAACGCAATAAGCAGGAAGTAGGAATAAAAAATTATATGACTGATCTTGACTCATAATTGCAGGTCATTGACAGCCACGTGAGGCCAGTAGAAGAAACTTGCTAAAACGCGATTGGGAATTATTGAATTTTGTAATTGCTGTATATTCATTGTGAAAAAGAAATAAAAACTTGATTGTTATTTGAAGTGCAATGCTTTCCAGAATTAGATGCGAATTACGTGCCATGAACTTGCAACCCATGCTTTTACAAAATTTCAATGATGATTGTAATTTGTGGACTCAGTGCTAGCCAATAGATGCATCCCTTCCAACTGTCACAAGGTTTATTATTATTATAATTCCTATCACTATTCTGGGCACTAGATGACGAGCCTCAAACAATTTCTTTTAAATTGCCTCCTACATAACATTGAGTGAGGCACCCATGATAAATTATTGATGAATATTTTCACAGTTCTTTGTTGTTCATAGTCGTCAGCGATGATAAGCCTGTGCTTGTACTGGCTTATGCAAGTCTCTGTCTTATATTTCAGCTGATTTAAAATCATATGTACAACAAACTATAGGTGCTTGTGAACCTTGTCACAAAAATTCAACCGTCAATAAAGAAAAACATTTAATACATTACATACAAAATAAATATTCATATTCCATTGGTGTCTCTCTTCTGAAAATCTTTTGGCGCATGCTACGAATATGATGACATGACACTCACGTTGCAGGCCGGACTGGCAGCCGCCCCTGCCCGCGCTGTGTCTGCCGTCAAGAACATGAACCTCCCGCAGCAAATCAAGGACATCAAACTTCCGGACCTGCCCACAGCCATCAACAACCTGAAATTCTGAGAGAAAAACACCTCAGTTACTCCTCGTATTATTTCGGTGTCTTGATTGAGTACTGATAATTACTTAGTAAAATTAATTGGAAGCCGTCGTGTTGGCTATATTGATGTCTAGCCTACTGTCTCATTTTAATAGGTACCGTATCTTTATAGAAAATGTTTTTCTGTTTGCAATTGAAATAAATTTGGCCAACAAGTTTACTGCCATTGTAATAATGTTGAGAATATATTAGAATTTATTTGGCTAATGACGTAACTATACGGTAGGTATATCTAGATCTGATGCAGAGTGAAGCAACTTGTCACGTGGATTCTGCACCGTGTTGAGATAACAGTGCTAATTATGTATTCATTGAACATTCCAATATTGCTATAGCCTGGTAATGTTAAACTCAAGCATTAAAACAAGCGAATAGACATCACCTATGAATTAAGTAAGTTCCTATCCAAACAAAACTTGTAGGAGAACTTGTCTGCTAATTCTGTTAAAATGAATTTCTGCTTCAGAAAATACTGATATCACAGGCGTGGCATGTTCTCTGTTCGAACTGAAGAATCGCAGCAGTTCTCTAAAAATCATAATTTTATTCTGCAGCATTTTCTTCCATCTTAGTTAACAATTCATATTCTTTATCCTAACGATTCTAAATGACGTGCTGCTGCTGGCACTCAAACAGTTTCGTATTTGCTTGATCTGGTTTCTTCTCAGCGACCAAATGCCGTCATACTTGCCTGTGACGTCACGTACTTGCCTGTCTGTCATGCTACTGCCTGTGTGACATGTTAGTGATGATTAATTACGACTATATAAATTCATGCAGGTATGTGTAAGTTTAGTTGATCTAATCCCAACATTATGTCAGGAATTCTGATGCCAAGTTTCTATTTATTATATTCTTATTTTTCAACATCGTCCATTCTAATGATATGAAAGACCGGGTACTTATCACGTCACGCTGATATTTGTGATGGATATTTAAAGATAAATCTTCTTTCTGGTAGATTCCCAGTTTTGTTTGATATTTTTATTTAACCTGTTATGTTAGATAGAAACTTCTTAGTCAATTAAACAACTTCATTGATTAGAATGGGTTAAGTTTTCGTTTTATATGGAAGTTATTTAATAATGCTGTATAAATCAAGTGTACGGTACTGAACGTTCGAGGGCATCAACGATTACCTTTCTCTCCTACCCAAACTTCGACGAATGAAGCAATATCAGTTCTGCCTTTAGAAAAAGTTTCCTTAAATATACAAGCACAGATGGCCTCTGTTGCTCGGAATTCAAGTGGGATTTTGCATTCGTCGTGCCAGTGTTTACCTTTTCATGTAGGTAAGGGGTCAATTTTTCATCTTTATACTATCATTTTGTATCACCTCTTTTATGAGCATTTGTCTTTCTTTCAATTGCTGTTCACCTGTCCTTATACGTAATTTATTTGATAATTATTTCGATTATTATTATTATTTTAAACATTTCGCTTTGTTTGCCTTTTGACTTCCGTTGCGCGGACGTTTCATAGCATAGCCAACACATAATTATGATGTCTTCGTAAAGACATCATAATTAATGAAATCTTAAGGGTTAGTAAAGTGAAGACTCGTAAGAATAGGCCGGCTGGAAAGTTATAGTTATAAATGCATATGAACAAATGTTAACATTAACAAATGTTAATGTAATATAATGAAACAATAATGCCAAGTCTCGTGAACTTGAAATTGGACAAAGTGCATACCGGAAGAAGTCGCATCTCACAAGGCAAGGTAAAAAAAGAAAATAATGAGTAGAAACCTCAAGGAACTACAACTGCAAAATATATGAGATGTGCCGCTTTACGTTCGTACCAAACTCTTGCGTGTGGATTTAACGTTCTTAACCACACCCAGGACTTGTGGTCCACGAACTGATAGATATTGGCTGCCGGCAAAATGTCCTCAGTTTACAATTTCTTGTTCCCTTGAATCGTAACTGCAAGAAGTTTTATTGGAAATCGCATCATTGCTATGCATACATTACTAAATAACTTGATATTGTTTTCCATAAAGTCATGTGTTAGTTTTTTAAATTTCCTTTTACTTTTTCTCATCTAGATTTTGAACTACTACTTTAGACTTTGAGAAATGGGAAATTAAATTGTCCTCGATGGTGACCAATATAGTAATCGGTCTTTATTGGCCGCCTCAGCAGGTACAGTCAGTTGAATCTTACTCGCAGCAGTTCAGTTTAGTTCTCTCCGCGCCATAAGGCGCACAAGGCTTGGACGTCACTCCTCCACTGGGTCCGGTTTGCAGCTGCCTGCCGTGCTATGTTCCACGAGTTCCAGCCTGCTCTGTTTCTCTCCTCTTCCACAATTCGCCTCCAAGTTGTTTTTGGGCGTCCTCTCTTCCTCCTTCCTTCAGGTGCCCACCCGAGGGCCACAGCACAGTCGCTTGCTCTGTCCTTCCTCAACACATGTCCCACCCAGTTCCACCTCCGTCTCCTCACCACATCACTGATTTTCTCCACTTCTGTCATATCAAGAACCGACTTGTTTGAGATATGTTGCTGCCATCGGATCTTGCAAATCTTCCGTAAGCATTTGGTCTGAAAGATATCTAGTTTTCTCTCTTCTCTCTTGGTTAGTTTCCAGGTCTCGCATCCGTATAACGAAACTGAAAGAACCAAGCTCTTGAACAGGGAGGTTTTGGTCTTTCTGCTGATGTTTCTGGCTTGCCAGATGTTTGTTAGTCGTTTGAATTGCGCGCTTGCCATTGCCACTCGCCTCCTCACATCTGCTGTGCTCCCACCATCCTTAGTGACGTTTGCACCCAGATATGTGAAGCTTACCACTTCCTCCACCTCGCTCTCTCCAGCCTTCAGCCTGTTGTTGCTCCTGCTGTTGACGTTCAATATCATGCATTTCTTGGCATTCAGTTTTAGCCCCACTTTTGCTGCATTACTCTCTAACCTGGTTGTTTTTTGCTGCAGGTGATTCATTGTTGGAGACAGAAGGGCAAAATCATCTGCAAAGTCAAGGTCCTCCAGCATGGTCGTTAAATTCCATCGGAGTCCAGTTCTTTCACCTTCCACAGTCCTCCACATTACCCTGTAACCCAGTCGATCACAAGAAGGAACACAAATCCTGACATGCAACACCCCTGTTTCACTCATGTCCTCACTGGAAACCACTCTGTTGTCTCGTCCTCATCAATCACGGAGCACTGAAAGTCCTCATAGAGAGTCCTGACTAGCCGGATCAGGTATTCCATATTGGCGCATAATGGCTCAAAGGCTGTCTCGGTGTATCGAATAAAATGCCTTCTCAAAATCAACGAAGTGGACGTACAATGTAGCGTTCCATTCGTTGGCTTGCTGTAGGATATTTTTGAGAATGAATATCTGGTCGACAGTTCCTCTTCCCCTCCTGAAGCCTGCTTGTTCTTTCCTAAGCAATGTATCCACTCCACCTTGTATCTTGTTGATGAAGATCATGCTGAGCACCTTGCTGGCCAGAGGCAACAAAGTAACTCCCCTCCAGTTACCTCAGTCCTGAAGGTTCCCTCGTTTTGGGATTTTGCAAATGAGTCCTTTGGTCCACTGTTCCTGTACTGTCTTTTGGTCCCAAATCAAGTCAAATATCCGCTTCAACACTTAAGCTGGTCCGTTCGATATCTGCTTTAAGCATTTCGGCTGAAATTTGGTCTGCCATGGACACCTCCATTTCCGAGGGTCTTCAGTGCGGCCCTCATTTCCTCCACATCTGGTGCCTCAATTGAGATATCAAGCTGCTGTCCTTCCTCTCCCTCCTCCTGTGGTGGTCCCTCTGGTGCTTCTCTGTTGAGAACTTCCTGGAAATGTTCCTTCCATCTCGCCATTCTGGCCTCTTTGCTCGTCAGCAGCTCCCCGTTCACACTCGCAGCAGTAAACTTGCTAAATTGATGCATATGGAACCATGTCTGCACTCCACTGGAGGGCAATGCAACAGAAGGACCGCAACCCAGAACAAGTTACTCCATGAATACCTACTACCACAATGCTGAAACGCAAGTCCGCGTCGAACGCAACTACGCCATTTAGTAGAAAGTGCCGGGGTTCTTTAAATTACGCCTGCAATTGTTCTGAGAGAGAGAACCTCACAAAAGATAGGACTTGTTTATGAGAGCCTCACAAGAGCTTGGGGTTGCTGTATGGGTACCTCAAAAGAGCTCGTGGAAACCGACTACTGTTGCTGGCGGCAGGGCTAGGCAAGGTTTCTTGTATTCCCGTCACCTCGGAAGCGATTACCATTCTTTGATTACAGATGTCACCTGGAGTTCGAAATTAAACGTCTCGGTTGTTGTTCTTTGCTTCAATAATCAGGCACTCGGGAGAATTGTCTTGGGAGGCGGGGAAGGTACGACCGCAAGAGAAGGGAGGTGGAAAAATGCTGGCATGGAGGCTACAGCTCGGAGAGAACCGTCCCACAGTGAGGTAACGGGGTGTGTGGGAATGGGTGGAGAGAAGAAGAGGTGATGCGTGAACTGGAGAGGATCCCCCATATTCGGAGCAAGCCGCGCTTTGCAAGCGCCTCAAGCTGAATATGTTGAGACGTGGAGTTTTTGCATTAGCCCGATCTTTGCCGTGCAAACTGTGGGGACGATACAGCATAGCTTCTTTAGGGTCGACTGCAGGTGTCATGCCGGTCAAAAATCTGTTCGCGCATTCTTAGCAGTGTGGAAAATTATCTTACGAAAGGCCGCTTTGCTTTTCCGTTGCAGCCAGCAGGCAGGCTGCCGTCTACAGTACAGGGGTCACGAAATGACCAAACCGCAATTACAAGGTTGATCCCTTTCGTTTTTCCCCAGTGTGGCGGAGATGAGTGGGAAAGAATTATAGTAGTGTAGCGGGAGCAATGAGCAACATTAATATCTCTTGGGTTCTGCTCGCGGGCCCTCCCATATGTATGCTAAAAATTTCCAATATCAATAAGGAACAGAATGTAAATTTGATTTCATGATAAACACTGACGACAATTCATGTTGCTATGACTAAATTCATAATACGAGCGCATCATTACGTCAAGCAAGAGATGACTTCCCAAGAGCTGTCTATTCGCAGAAGATTGACATTTAAACTGCATACATTCCATAATTTGTGCTCAAGTTATCCTTCATAACCACCAAATGACCATCATAGTTGAAGCCCCTCTGCAGACTATGTAACTTGAGCCCCTCTGCAGCTTCTTTCCAAGAAGGATTTATTTTATTTATTTTTTTCATTTCATTCCTGCTTGGCGATATGCGGCTGCTTAAAATCAAACGCATAGTGCGGTTAATACCTTCAGTATGTGTAGGGTGTTTGCGTTTTTACAGGCAAGCGTCTTAGCGTGAAGAGGAAAAAGGTAAACTGAGTATCTCATTTCACTCCTAGGCTTCGCGGGAGGTGAGTTGGTTGCGGCTGTTGCCAACTAAGGCGGCGGGGTGAATTCTGGATTAGTGAGTTTCAGGGTAGAAAAGTGAGACTAAAGATTTATCCAGGGCCATGACCAGTCATTTGAAACCAGGGCACTGAGGGCAGGCGAAGACTCTTGCTAGGAATACCGTCAAGTCTCGAGGGAGAGACAAATATGGTGAGGTCACCAGTGCAGTATTATAATAGGGAGGAACTAGGCAGTTCAAGTGGTTGAAGAGGGCTAGGTAGATGACGGACTCCGGTATGTATGATTCTGAAACAGATTGGGCGCGAGATTAGTGACAGGATGCTAGTCTGCCTCCGAGGCAGGAATGCAGCCATCGGACCACGCTGTGATGTAGAGTAGAAAACACCTCGGTCGACTGTGATCGCCCGATTTACGGGCTTATTTTTCCAGCTTGTACTAACTGAAGTAATTCGGCTCCAATCTCTTAAAATAAGCTTAATCCTTCACTTTTATTCGTTTCAAGGGACTCAGTAACCCTAATAGTTTATGTCAAAAGCCTAACGTCGAAATAATTACTTCACACAGCCTCGCGCCTGGGAAATATCTGAAGATTGCATCTGAATAAATTTAACATTAATTAGTTCGACGAGCATGTAGGAATTAATTAATCCTAATGAGTATATACCTGATTTATGAATATGTCAATCTCGCATTCATAACTCGGAATGGCCGAGTGGTTAAGATCAACAATAACGGAGCAGCATGTTAGGGTTCGAGACCCGCACCAACTTGTGAAATTTCTGGTGGAAATCGGCGAGGTGGTCGGGTGGTTAAATATCGGCGACAGGTCAAAATGGCCTTATAGAACTGGCAGCATTTAAACCCCTATAACTCTCGTCGTCATACGCATTACCCTGTGACGAACTAATCTTGAATAATAGCTAATTAATCGCGTCACCTCAAAGTTCGGATGGTCTAATTGTCACGTCCACCAATGACCGGAAATTAAATGCAACTTCCCTATTGGTTTTATCAGCAAGAGCTTGGACGGAGCGGATAGTTACTCAAACAAATTTTCTTAAATTTATTTATTAAAGACA